ACTTCAGACATTCTCCGACATCTCCTTGGTGCCCAGCCCTGCTCCTCCACCTCCTTTTCCCCATCACAGAGCTCACCATCTGTGTTCCACAGTCAGGGACACAGAAGGGTCAGGGCTAGGCTGAGGAAATGGCGGCTGTTGTGAGCATCTAGAAGAGCCTGTCCCAGATTGAGGAAGAGGGGCTTTTGAACTGAGAGCTGAGGGATGTAAAATCAGGAAGAAGCCTTTCAGAGAGTTCCACTCCCTGGTGATAAATATATGAGCCTGTGGGGCCATTCATATTCAAATGACTAAAAGAGGGAATTTAGGAACATCCTTTCTGCCCGGTGGTACTTCTGAACAGAAATGGCCATGTTGGGGATGGAGAGATGGCTCAGCGGTTATAGAGTATTTGCAACTGAGTCTTAGTCACGGTTGTATGGCTGTGAAGAGACGCCATGACCAAGGCAAACTTATAAAAGAAAGCATTTATTTGGGGGTTGGCTTGCAGTTTCAGAGGGTGAGTCCATGACCCTCAAGCCATGAGCATAGTAGCAGGCAGGCATGATGCTGTAACAGCATCCGAGAGCTTACATTTGATCCACAAGCAGAACACAGAGAGAGAGGGGGGGGGGGGTAACTATGCCAGGTGTGGACTTTTGAAACCTGAAAGTCAACCCACACTTCCTGCAACAAATCCACCTCCTAGACTTTCCCAAATAGCTCCACCAGCTGGGGACCAAGTACTCAGTATTTAAACGGATGAGCCTGTAGGGGCCATTCAAACCACTACACCCCAGCTCAGCACCTAGCACCCATACGGGCTCATAACCATCTGCAAGCAGGGGATCCAAAGCCCCTTTCTGTCCTTCATACATGGATCAAAGGGAAACCCATGTTCTGATTGGACAGGCAGGTGTTGGGTGGAGCCCAGACATGTTGGGTCCTAGGCCCCTCTGCAGTAGGCACTCTTAATCTCCTGAGGTGCTTCAGAAAGGACTTGGGGAGGAACAATAGAGTTGAAAACTCCCCCCAACCCCGACAGCAAGTAACCTCCAAGACTGGGGACTGAGCCCATGGGGGCTGTGAGAAGTTATGGAGGTGCTGGCTGGGAGGAAACCTAGTGGACAAAGGGCCATGGGCACTAACAGTCTTGAAGACAAAGGAGAAAGGTGGCTGAGACATGGCCAAAGACTCTGGCCCGAGAACTTTTCAGGCCACCTCTAACTGCTGACAAGAACTGGTGACACAGACTACCCCACACAGGCCATTTGGGACATAAAGCCAAGACCTCCCTGAGTACTCGAACCATCTATTTCTCCTGGATGCTCCCTTCCAAAAACCACCTTAACCTTTAAACAACAACCCCAAGACTGTTGTTTGAATGTGGTGGCCAATAATCAGAGTACTTGGGGCAGGACAGGACAAGAGAATCATGAGTTCAAGGCCAGCCTGGGTTTCTTAAGAGCCTGTTTATTTTTAGGTGCATTGTGTGTATATACATATACATACATAAACATGTGTATATATACATATATACACATGCATATATATGTATATATATTCATACACATGCACACGCATGCCCACATGCACCATGGGACACACGAGGACAGAGGAAAATCTGCTGAATCAGTTCTCTTTCTACCATGTGGGACCTGTGGGGCCTGAGAATCAAATTCAGGTCATCAGGCTAATCAGCACCTTTAGTGACTGAGCTATCTTTTAAAAAAAGGGGGGGGATCAGCCCATTTATATGGAACCCTAACAGAAGGCCAGACAGCACAAGTAGGGGAGTGACAACAGAATTACTTATTTGTCCCTGCCCCCCCCCAAAGAAAAGGGCAGTGCAGTGGGTTGGGGCTGGACTGGCGCCTTCCTCTGTTCTAAGCTCGCCTCTTCTGCACAGGGGCCCAGGGACAGCCAGCAACAACCAGTGACGTCAAGCTCCCCGCTGTAGGCACAGTGCTGAGTCCCACACAGTGATCCCAGGAGGAACCTGGTTCCTCCCATTTAACGGATGAGAAAGCAGAGGCCCAGCTATGGTTTGCCTAGAGTCCCCTGAGCCCCAGGAACTCGGGGTCTCCCTCTACAGGACTGGACAGGAACTTAGCTCCACAGCAAGGGGCATCCTGAGTGCTGTGTCTCATGACCAGTACAACTGGACCCATCTGGAACCCTTACACCCAAGGAGTTCAAAATCCAGTAGGGGAGATGGCCTTCTGGCAGTCTCAGACACCAAATACCACCCATTCTTATCTGGTGTGTGGACCCACCAACATTTGTGACTCTGTGCCCCTCGTGGTGGTGGCTTCCAGACAGTCTGCATTCTCAGTGTGGCAGAGCCCTGACCATTTCCACCAGACTCTCCCCAGTCCTGAGGGAGACATAGCAGGGACAGAGTAGGGAGGGGAAGCTTCTAGGAGAAAGAGTGTACTCAGGACAGTTTAAATGGAGGTGGATCCAGGGTGGGCAAGATGTCCCCTCCCCACTCTCTTCCTCCCTTCCTTTTTAACAGTGTTACCTGATAGTCCAGGCTGGCTTTGAACTCATAATCCTGACCCGCCTCCTGAGGGATTGTAGGTATGTACTACTATACCCCTTTGGCTGGTATTTCCTATTACCTAGAACCTGTCTTGTAGCCTGGTGTGATGGTGCAGACCCCTAACTCTTGCAGGCAGAGGCAGGAAGATCAGGAAGGAGTTCACTGTTATCCTCAGCTGCATAGTGAGTTGAAGATAGTGTAGGCTATGTCAGACTGCCTCAAAGCAGAAACAAACCCCCAAAGCCTCCCTTCCACACGGGTCTCTATCCTCTGACATCCCAGGTGGTGAAGGCTGCTGCTGATGGAGACCGAGATCGAGTCCTGAAGAAATCCCAGGATCTCAAATTCCTCACAGGCTTTGAAACCAAGGTTGGTGGCCACTGGGCAGAAGGGCTGGTGTGTTTGTTGCTGTGTTTCCTTTAGGGGACTAATGTCTTTGGGGAGTGGAGGACATAGGAGCTGCTGCGCTCTGCTGAGCAACTGGAGAAGGATGGGGTGGGGGAGTGGAGATTGTATTTCTATCCCAGGGGAGTGGGATAACTGGATGGACTAGTCTATACTGAGGAGCTCTGGGGTGGGCTGGAGGGTATGGCTACTAAGGGGGGGGGAGCACCACTATTTATTCTGGGGATCCTGGGTTTGAGGAGTAGAGAGGCTGCTAGTCTGTCAGAAGCCAGGGCTTCTTCAGAGTAACTGGGGGGGGGGGTGTGGACAGTTGGTGTCTACTTATTCCTTTTCCGGCACCTTGGGCTAGCAATGCAAGTCTTCCACCACGGAGCCCCACCCGGTCCCCAGCCCCTCACTGGTGGATTCTAGGCCAGCTCTACCAGTGAGTCACGTCCCAGCCCTTGCAGTTTGCCTCTTCTGAAGTAGTCAGAGGACATTATGTCCGTCTGGATGCATCTGCCATCCCCACCCTAGGCATTCTCCGACGCCCACGTGGAGGCAGTGATGATTCTGGGGGAGCCCTTTGCTTCCTCGGGTCCCTACGACTTCGGGGCTGGAGAGACAGCTCACCGAATACAGGGCCTCATCCCCGTGTTGCTTCGGCATCGGCTGCGCCCACCACCTGAGGAGACCTACGCCCTACACCGCAAGCTAGCTGGGGCTTTCTTAGCCTGTGCTCGCCTCCACGCCCACATCGCCTGCCGGGACCTCTTCCAAGACACCTACCACCGTTACTGGGCCAGTCGCCAAGCACTGCCACTGCCAGCAGCCTCCTGACTAGAAGGACCTCCCTGACGACCCCACCATGACTGATTCCATCCGGGGATACCAGTTCCACAGCGGGGTCCTCTGCTACGGCTCTTCTTACCCCCTGACGCTCTATCCTGGTGTCAGAGACTAGTTTCTTGTCTTGGATCTTCAGGCCCCTGAAGTTAGTTCCCTGATCCAAAGTGGGCATCCTGGAATTCTAAACCTGGGAGTCAGCGAATTACTGCCATCATCTAAGTGAACCCTTGGCCCCTTCATGGGGTTCACTCTTATCTGGAGGGGGCGCCCCTCAGCCCCAGGTCTTCCAGGATCCTCAGGAGTGAGGGGACATGGTGGCTGTTGGAGGCGGTCCTCACCTTTGCCTCCCTCGCTTTACCAGCTGCCTTCTTCCGGGGTTCCAGCCTGTGTATTGGTGGATGGGGGTGGGTGCCGATCCTTCTCTTCGAATAAAGGCACCCTTTCCCTTCCCCCCAGCTCTTTTCTCTCTGCGCTAAGGGGGAGGAGCTCACAGGCGGCTCCAGGTGCAGATGGCCAGACCCTCCCCCCTTGTCTAGGGCCATCTGTTGCGGGGAACCTCCTCCACCCCCCCCCCACGTGCTGACCACCTGCTCCGAAGGCTGTGGCAGCTGAGAAGTACCCTCCTATCACACATTCTCGCCCCTCACCCCCAGCTTCAGGCTCCCACATGACAACCTCGCCTTTGCTAATGGGCCCTAATGCCCCTACCAGCTGCTTTGCCAAACCCACAGGACCGGACTGGGTGTGCAGCAGCGTCCAGAACTAGGACTGGTCCTATCCCAATGCCTTCTCTCCGCAAGCCAGAATGCTCTCCCTCCAGGATGTCGGGGTCTGTTCCTTTCCCCTCCCCTTGCTTGCAAAAAAGTGCCTCGTCACCGCTTCTGCCCGCCCCCGCCGGGCTGGGAGAACCGTGGGGTTAAGCAAGATCTGAGGACGTCAAGGCGCCTCCCAAAGCAATTCTTCAGAAGCAGAACCATAGGGGATCTGAGGTCAGGGGTAACAGAAGAAAACAGAACCTGCGCCTGAACCTGGGAGGCAGTCCACCAGAGATGCGTGCAGGTTCCCCCAAGGCCAGGCCAAGAGGCGGAGAGGGGCGGGGAGGGGCGGCTTCTACATGGGAGGAGACCGGGTAGTATTTGTATGGGGGAGTGGTCTGTGGGGAGGCGGAGTCTCTTTTGCATATACAGCAGGCGGTGGGCCAATGGGCGGGGCCGGGGCGGGGCGCTGAGGGAGGGATGCTCCCCCGCCCCCGGAACGGAATCCTCCGGGGAGCCGAGCTGGCTCGCGCGCTTGCATCCCGCACCAGCCGCCGGCCCTGGGCCCGGCCCGCGTCAGACCGAGCCGCCGCCGCCACAGTAGCAGCAGCACTCGGGAAGCCGGGCCCAGCCGGGGCCGCGGGAGGCGGGGGCGCCCGGGCCCTGGATGTCCCGCAGCGCGGCGGCCAGCGTGAGAAGGGCGGGCTCGGGGGGCTCGGGCCGGGGGCGGCGCCGCTGCTGATGTGGCGGAGGGTGGGAAGCGGCAGCAGCGCCCGGATGGAGAGAAGATGCCAAGACTGGAGAGGGTGGTCCTGGGTGGGGGTCCGGGAACAAGCCCCCGGCAATCCTAAACCTGCCAGACTGGGGTCTCCAGGACAGGCCATCTCTGCGAAGGCCCTGGAAATAGGGATTCTGAGATACAAATTCCCCCCAAATCAAGGACAGGGCTGCATAAATTCTAGGTACAACTCCCTAGGCAAGGTTTGGTGTTCATGGTCCGGGACACAGTTCCCTTTATCAAGCTAAGGCCTTAACTGAGCCTATTCCAGACAAAATCCGTACTCCTCCTGCCAGAGGGGTTCTTCGAGCACAACAGCCCCCTTATCGAGATCTTGAAGATTCCCTGGGTAGAACTGCCAAGGCCAAGGCTGTGGGGTGTGGGGGTTCATCCAAGTACTGTCTACTCCCAGGGGTCCTGGATCCAGCGTGCCCCCCCCCCCAGCCCTTGGGCGGTGTCCCAGGCAAATCCCCTTCTCAAAACAAGGTCCCTGTGTCTGGAACTCCACCCCAGCATGAATAAAATAAGGAGAATTTCAGGCATTCCCCTACCCCACCTCCACCCCATGCTTAGTCAGGGGTCTCAAGACATTGGTCTCCTAGGCCACCCCCTTTGTCCCTAGGGCTGCTCAGCTGTCTAAGAGGCCCCACCCGGAGACAATGCTCAGCTTTCCTAGCCAGACGGACCCCCCCCCCCACGCCCCAGACTCCAGGATTTAGCTTGGGCTGGGGGCGGCTCCCCAGAGACCCGGTGGAAACCTGTCTGCAGCCTCTGTGGTGACCAGCGGCTTTGTGTGTGGTATGGGGGGTGGGGGGTGGGGGTGCAAGGGTTGGGGAGGTGGCTAGAAGTGTGACCTGGTGTTTGTGTGACTGTGTCTGTGTGTGTGCTTGCGTTGCAGCTGGCAAGGAGAAGGAATCCTACGTTGTCTCTCTGCATGCTTGTGGTTGGATGTGCTGGTGTCCATGGTGTGTGTGTGTGGCCCCAGTGTTTGTGTGACTGGATGTGAATGGCAGCTGCTCACTGTACAAGCTCCTCTACTTTTTGGATCATGTTTAGAGGGATGCGTGGTTGTGGTTAGGAGGTTGTCTTTTGTGACCCTGTGTGTGTGTGTACCTTGGTGTATGGCAACATCTGTGTTGGGTTCGGACTTCTGTGTGGCTGACTGAAGATGGGGTGGAGTTGTGACAGTGTGTTAGTAGGATTGTGACTGTGGCGATGGCCATATGTGGAACCATGTTGTGCTTATGTCTGACTGATGTCTCCATGAGGGTCACCGCACTGCTGTCGTGTTTGAAGTCATATTGTGCTTGGGTTTGTGTTGTATGCCCCTAGCCGTGTCTGTGTGTGTGACTGAGGTGGTACAAACGGCTCTCCACCTAGCTGTGTGATACTGAGTACGAACCACAGCCACCTATGTGTGATTTGAGTTGTGACTATCTGAAACTCTTGTCTACTATGAAAGGGTAGTTGTGTGGGACTCAGCCTGCACTGGGGGTGCATAGGTGACCAGCTTCTATTCCTCTGTGTGTGTGTGACCCAGTTGTCTGTGACCCTGGGGGACTCTCTGCTGGTGTCCTAGACTGGGAGGGTGTGTGTGATTTGGTGGTGAAGTGACTGTGTTTTCCATGTAAAGCCAGCTGCTGTAAATGCTGACTGGGTCACGCTGTTTATGTGTGCACCCAACTGTGTGCTTGTGGTGTGGAGAACCGAACCGTGTGCTTTAAGTTCCTCTGTGTGAGATTTTGAGTATTAGTGGGACTGTGACTTTGTGTATCTGTCCACGTGGGGTCGTGATTGATTATATGCGGCCACATTCTTGTCTACGTGACTCGAATCCTCATGGAGACTGTTTATCTGTGATAGGGTACCAGCATGACAGATGGCTGGGCACCATCGGCCCTGATGCAGAAGTGACTCCATACACAACTGTTTCTGGAATGTATGTGACTGTCTGAGGCCGGCCATCCTTGTCCCTTGGCCTCTGGCTGATGATACGCTATGTCTGTGATGCTCGGGCTGTGGCCATCAGTGTCTACAGCATGTGGCTGTCCATAAAGAGAGGCTTGTACATAAGAGTGCTTGTCTCAGAGGAGCACGTAGTGCGTGTGACAACCAAACATTGGCATGCCCCTGGTAGTCTGTGACTGTCAAAGTGTGTTGATGTAGCTGGTGCTGCTTGAGGGTGAATGACCTTGTGCATCTACAGCTGTGTGTTGCTGGGGTGTGGAGGGGGTGCGGGGCTTGGTAAGACCAGTATGCCTCAGTCCACGTAGGTGATTGTGCTCCTGGGTGACCAAGTGCTTATGGTGACCCGAGAGGTGGCCGGTCTGTATGTGTTTCTGCCTAGGGTGTGTGGTTTAGGAGACATAACTGTCATAAGGTGTAGTTGGACACGTATCACCCGTATGCATGTGCCTGCTCCAGCTCATTGTACGTAGCCAAGAGTGGATGTTATCAGCTGTTGGACTGAGTAAGTGCCTGTGGTTGGCTGAGACACATACATGCCTGTGGACACATGGAGAGCTGTGTGTGCCAGTGAGTACCAACATGTGGCCAGATGTTAGTTGTGTCTTATGACCTAAGGCACATAGCTGTTGTGATGTCTGTGTCATAAAGTGTGCTGAGATAGGACCAAATTGCTAAGAAAACTGTTGGCTGCTCAGGTGTGTGTGGCTATGTGTTTGTGTTTAACCCTGGACATGACAGTAGAGGGCAAAGCCACTCACTTCCCATCATCTCCTTGGGTGTTGAGGGACCCAACACACCTACTCCTTCCTGGGCCCATAGAACCAGGTGGCTGGTCTCCCTAGTAACAGTTGCTATGACTACCAGGGTTCTTACTAGGGAGCCTGAGATGGAGGGGTTGGCTAAGGTCCAAGGTGGGGGTTGAGTAGGGGACCGAATTCCCCTCTACAAACTTCTCATCTTCTCACTCCCTTGATCAGGGTGGACCCAGGAGACCTGGTCAGCATTTGTCCCCAGCCCCCTGTGGGGCCTCGGGGCCCCCTGAAACCTTCAGGACGGAGTCAGGTGAGTGACCAGCTTGACAAAGGACAGGGTTTGTCCATGGGTCATGGTTATGGCTAGTGTGACCAGAGGAACTGCCAACCACTGTCACACAGGCTCCGTTGAATACTTTGTTGTACACAGTGACCATCAAAGCCCCCACGGTCACAGACACACATCCTAAACCCCCACCTACAGACACCAACAACCTTCTGCACACAACGGTTATGTACAGATCAAACTCTTGCAGGTACGCACACTCAGACCTTCACACATCCATAGATTTACAGTTCAACCTGCACACGCATGATTTGCACATGCTTGTCAAATGCAGCAACAAGCACACTTCTAGATTTGCTAAGTGATATTTATTCACACAAACACAGAGACAGATATCTACATGTACACATATCTACAGACCCCCCCCAGACAGCACACAGGCAACCACCCGCACTTGTACACCCATTCTTAGAAATACACTCAAGACATATATGGCCAAATAAGATGTTGAGGGTCTATAATCCCAGCTCTTGGGAGGCTGAGCATGAGAATCAGGAGTTCAAGTCCAGCTTCAGCTATACAGCAAGCTTGAGCCCAACATGGGCTACTTGGGACCCATCTCTAAAGCAGTAAGATGCCGGTGCTTGCTTATACTCCCAATAGCCAGGAGACAGAGGTAGGCAGAACTCTCGGAGTTTATTGTCAGCCTGGTCAACACAGCGACTTCTAGGCCAGTCAAGGGATACATCATAAGTTGATGCTGAAGAGAAGGAGGAAGAGGAGGAGGAGAAGAAGAAAAGAGATCTACAATGATAGTCTCCACCCAGTATGCACAGGCCCACAGGTCCAGACGTCAGTGTCTCCTTTATCTCAGGCTGGCCTTGAACTCACTATATTACCAAGTGTGTCCTTGAAGTGATACTCCTGCCTCTTTCTCTCAAATGCTAGAAGTGAAGGCTTGTGCCACCATGCCCCGTTTATGCAGGCTGGAGATGGGACACACCATCAGCTGTGCTATGACCGCAGCCTTGACGGCTACACTTCTGTAGACCAACAGCCTCACAGACGGCACCTGTGAACCCCAAAAGAGCTACGCTTTGGCTCACACTCTCACAAATAGTACTCAGCACTCTTAGACAACAGCCACTCAGTCAGCAATCACACCGATGGCCATGGTCAGGGACACATTGCTTTACAGACACACTGTCAGCCAGGAGAATGACCTGGAACAGCCCTGCTTTGGGTTCTGAATGAGTGAGTTTATTAAGTATAAAGCAAGCAAAAGTAAAACAATGAATATCGAGTAGCAGATAGAAGAAGTAGACAGCAGAACATCAAATGGACTCTCACCATCCAGCAGACACAGCTGGAGTGGCCAGATGGAGAAAGCAAACAAAAGCACCAACCCTCACCGAAGCCACCTACATACAATCTCATTAGCATCTGCCCTCTTGGCCATAGGCACCATCTTATGGATAACGGTCGCAGACTCCCACTCTCAGAGGCAACGGCTCTAAAGGACATAGTTGCACTCTCTCACAGAAGCATTGCCCTATGGAAACCAGTCATGGAAACACCCTTCAGGGCCAACAATCCATCCAAGGCAACACGCACAGAAACCACAAGCTCTCGTAGACAGGAACTATACAGAGACATCGCATGCACCAGTGCACACGTATGGCCAGTCAGACACGAGTGCCCTGCAGCAGAAACCTCCAGAGATGCGTGCTCACAGATAACAACCCCTCTTGGGGATGCAGGCTCCCTCACAGCCAACGCCCAAAGTCTCACGAACAGTCATTCACGTAAGGAATCTTTTACAGCCTGCCTCCCGGACACACTGCCTCTGACTGTTGCAAGCATGCACCACATGAGGCCTCGCTTCATCTGCACTCAGCTGTCAGAGAGCTGTACATGTTACATTTTCCCTCAGCTCTCCCCCTCCCTCTCCTTTCCTGTCTCTCTCCTGTTTTCCTTGAACTTGGAGTTGACACTCTAGCCTTGCAGGCTAGACCAAGCTCTGCTACCTGGCTACATGTTCTTATCCCTGATCACCTTCACTGGCCCTCGTGTCCTCAACCCCCCCGGACATTATGACCCTTGACCCCAGTCCTCAAGCTCCAGGCTACCCTGACCTCTCATTCTTTGGATCTTTTCCATCATACCCCAAACCTCTGAACCCCTAAAGCCTATGACCTGCGATTCCACCCACCCAGACCTCCGTGCCCCTTGCCACGTACCCCTGAAGCCCTGGATACACAATTCTGGAACCCTCTGTATAACCAGTATCCACCGGGTGGAGCCACTCACCCACACCTGCTCCTCTAGCAAGCCCTCAGCCCTGTCACCTCATCTCCACACCGTTGACCTCCATCTTTAACCCATATCCCTGTCCTGTGCCACTAGACGGGGCGGGCACCATGAACAAGTTACGGCAGAGTCTGCGGCGGAGGAAGCCAGCCTATGTGCCCGAGGCATCGCGCCCACACCAGTGGCAGGCAGACGAGGATGCAGTGCGCAAGGGCACATGCAGCTTCCCTGTCAGGGTGAGTGCACGGCATGGATCGCCTGATTTGTGCCTACGGCATGCCTGCTGACCCCAGGGCACTGGGCAGATTGTCCAAGGCCATTGCTGGGAGACCTGTACTGTGGGGCTCTGTTAGGAGCTGTGACCGGCGACTTCCAAGTGCACTGGCATGGTGGCACTTGCCTGTAGTCCTAGAACACGCCCCATCACCTTTGTAGAACTGGAACCGGAGGCCCTGCGTGTAAGCATGCACACACGTGCGCATACACAAAGCAGCCTCCTTTATTATTTTTAGGCTCTGTCTCATTAAGCTGGCCTTGAACTTACTCTGTACCCCAAGCTGGCTTGAACTCAAGATCCTCCCACTTCCCCCTGCACTGACCACACACCTAACACATTCTGCCTTACACCAGATATCACTTGGGGGATAATCCTGAGGGGCTCACAGATAACGTGCACTGAAAGGTTACAGAAATGCGGCAGTGTTGGCAAGGCTCTTTTCCTCTTCTGGACATTCTGGTTTACACGTAGTCCGCTCTCCCAGGGAGGCCTGAGCTCTGGGATTCAGTCTTTTTCCCTTTTCATCTGAGAGACTAGGTCCTCAGCCTGGTTTTCTTTTCCCTAGAAGTGTACCCAAAATGTGAGGGGTTCATGTGGCAGGCACAGGAAGTGCCGATGAAAGTGGGGAAAGAATGTCAGCTAATAAGGGGGCATCTGTCAAATGAAAACAGCCTTTGTACAGCAGCGTGCATGTAGCTTAGCAGGAGATACTTGCCAGTGAGGGCTGGGGTGTGGCTCAGTGGTAGAGCCCCTGCCTAGAATCCCCCAGTGAGGGCTGGGGTGTGGTTCAGTGGTAGAACCCCTGCCTAGAATCCCCCAGTGAGGGGCTGGGGTGTGGCTCAGTGGTAGAGCCCCTGCCTAGAATCCCCCAGTGAGGGCTGGGGTGTGGCTCAGTGGTAGAGCCCCTGCCTAGAATTCCCCAGTGAGGGGCTGTGGTGTGGCTCAGTGGTAGAGCACTTTTCTAGCATTGTGGAAGGCCCTGGATTCCGTCCCCAGCACGAGGAAGGGAGGTTATAAGGACTTAAAACTGCAACTCTGGGTAATGGAACTTAGTCTCATTCTAATTCCAGGGACAGTTATTGCATCTGCAGGAAGCCCCGATTTCCATTTGCCATCGTAGGAAGGAGAGTGGGCACGGATCTGTGCTCTGTGTGTGTGTCTTCATGTGTGCATATTAGGGATTAAACCAATGGCCTTAGCCAAGCATGGTGGCATATGCCTTTAAAAAAAAAAAAAAAAGCATGAGACGTGTTTTCTCTGTGTAGTTCCTATGACTTTACTAGCGTTTGCTCTGTAGTCCAGGCTGGCCTCAGATTCGGAGGTCTGCCTGTGGTGCACGCCTTTAATCCTAGCATTCGGGAGGCAGAGGCAGTCAGATGTCTGAGGCCAGCCTGGTCTACGGAGTTAGTAGAGTGAGTTACAGCACAGCCAGGGCTACACAGAGAAAAAGAAAGAGCCAGCAAGCCTTGTGCATGCTAGGCAAGCAGGCCTCCACTGAGCTGCATCTCCAGGGCTGGCCGGCTTCCTTTTTAGCTGATGTCAGGGCAGGTGGAGAAGCCTTGTGGCCTCCATCATGTCCTCAGGCACACAGGAGCATGCTGGCCCTCAGAAGGCCGAGAGTGAGGCGTGAAGGCCCAGTGACAGAGACAGGACCCAAATCTCTGTTTTTTTAGCTGTGTGTCTGGGCTAGAAGTGTGGTTCCCACCCTATGGATTGGAAATGCAGCGTGAATGACTGCACCCGATGGGCTGAGAACTGTGGCCTGAGTGCGGAGATGCTCGGTGATGCTGAGAGTGATTGATTACTGTGTTTATCTCCCCCCCCCCCAGTACCTGGGTCATGTGGAGGTGGAGGAGTCCCGGGGGATGCATGTTTGCGAAGATGCTGTGAAGAAGCTGAAGGCGGTGAGTGAGGGGCTGGATGCAGGGAGGGGGTAAGAGCAGACCGGAAGAGGTGATCCTGACCAGGCCGCTCTGCTCCCTACCCTCACCCCAGATGGGCCGGAAGTCTGTGAAGTCTGTCCTGTGGGTGTCAGCTGATGGACTCCGGGTGGTGGACGACAAAACCAAGGTAGGAGGGCTGTCTTCGGGGTGGAGGGAGACTTACCCGTCCACCATGGGACGTTCCGCCCAAGGGCGCCTTCTAGACTCGGCCATGTGTTCCTGCATCAGCTTGGCTGACTGCATGGTCCTAATTCAGGACCGAGGGCTGCAGTTATTTGAGAACTCGTATGGGGAATGGGTACCTGTGTGCACGAACTGAAGCAGCCACCTCAACAACGCCAGTCCCAGCCACCCCGTCACCAACTGAGAAACCCTGGGCTTGAGATTTAACCCCTCTGGGCTCCCGTTGCCTCATCTTTAAAAAGAAAAAACCGGGTTGTAATAGACCCTGCCATCAAATCAGAAAGCCTGTATGTATGCACTGTGTAAAATCTGGCGGGATTGTACAATGGTTAAAGCACTTGCCACGGAGGCAGGAGACCGTGAGGTCAGATTCCCAGAAGCCCACACAATTGCTAGTGTCCTCCCTGAGAAGGATTACCAAGCTCAGCTCTGGACCTTGATATGCATGTGTATAGACATGCGCCCACACACACAATGGAAAAGGGGGAGGCAGGCAGCGGACCAAAAACACTTCTGCCAAGAGCCGGGGTATAGTGGTACAGGTGTGTGATTCTAGCCCTAGGAAAGTTGAGGCAGGAGGATTACAAATCCAAGGCCATCCTGGGCTTCATGCTGGAAGAAAAAAAAAATTTTTTTAAAGCTCAGCGTATCAACAAATGTGGGTTGTTACATGTTTGGGGTTTTTGTTTAATTGGGTCCAGCATAACCCTGACGGCCTCAAACAGACTGTTTTGCCAAAGATGGTCTTGAAGTTCTGATCCTCCTGCCTATACTTCCCAAGTGCTGGGTTGACAGGCATCCGTCACCGTGCCTGGTTCTGGCCTTGCTGGGAATGCAGCCTGGGGTTTCCTATGTACCTAGGCCAGAACTCCGCCACCTGAGCACGTCCCAGCCCTATTTTGTGTTTAGATGAGATCCCCAGGATTCAGGGTCTGGGACTTTTTCTGAGACGGGAGTGAGGACTCTTGAACCAGGTCTTTGTGCATGGAGGCAAGTCTGTCACTGGGCTGTCACCTAAGCCCTGGGCTCTGGGCATCTGTTTGCTCCCCTTTGGCTCCCCTGACTCCAGCCTGGAGACCCCTGCCAGGAGGTGCCCAGGGCTTGCTGGGTGTTGTCACCTTTGCACAGGCTGTTCCTTTGCCTGAATACTGTTCCCTGCCTTCCTGTCGAATTAATTCTTCCTGGAATTAATGGCGCTTCTGGCTCCTGCAGGCCCTGGAGTCCAGTCTTTCTCCTGAGTCTGTGCCTCTAGGCTGTCTCCTCCATCTCAGATGGATCTGACAGACCAAATCATGATCCTGGGGCAGGCTAGCCCACGGCTATCTCCATGACAGCTGGGTCCGCATTTGATTCAGGATGAGATCATGTGATGTGTGCAGCAGAGATGGTTTACACAGCCTGCCTCCTCAACCTTTCCTAGGACCTTCTTGTAGACCAGACCATCGAGAAGGTCTCCTTCTGCGCTCCTGACCGCAACCTGGACAAGGCTTTCTCCTACATATGCCGTGACGGCACCACGCGACGCTGGATCTGCCATTGTTTTCTGGCACTCAAGGACTCCGTGAGTAGTGCAAGCCGCTGGGTCCTCTCCCTCACTCTGCATGCCCCAAGTTCTGGGCCCTCTGGACCAGGACCTCTCATCTCAAGGCGAGTAATGGTGGCGCCTTTAATCCCAGCACTCTGGAGGCTGAGGCAGGCAGCTCTATGTGAGTTCGAGGCCAGCCTGGTGTACAGAGCAAGTTCTGGGATAGCCAGGACTGTTACACAGAGAAACCCTGACTTGAAAAACAAAACAAACAAATAAAACCCAAAAAAACAAAAACAAAACAAAAAGAGGAGGAGGAGGGTATGCATAGTCTCTAATGTGCAGGAGTCTGGGATGGGAGCAGGTTACTTGATGCATACCAAACATCAAGGAAAACAGTGATTATCATCCTGTATCAGTCTTAGTATTAGTATGTGTGTGCACTCCTGACTGTATGTATGTGCGTCAGGTTCCTGGAACTGGACTCACAGGCAGTTGTGAGCTGCCCAGTATGGGTGCTGGGAACTGAACCCAGGTCCTCAGCAAGAGCAGCAAGTACTCTTAACCGCTGAGCCATCTCTCTAGGCCCTGGCCTCAAACTTTTGATCTTCCTGTCTCTGTCTCCTAAATGTTAGGATTGCAGAAGGCATTCAGCCTCAAGCCCAGTAGCTCCACAAGTTTTTGCTTCTGCATCAGGCACACTGTGGTCAATGCAGTTTTCTGCCCCAGGAGACTCCCTTGGGTCCTTTTCAGTGTCTTAATTGTTTCCAGGATTCCCTCAGCCTTGGTATATTTTGTTTGTGGTTCTTTTCTTTTTTTGGATTTATTTATTTATTTGTAAAGATATTTTGGGGGTCTGGAGAGACAGCTCAGCAATTGAGAACACTTGTTGCTCTTGCAGAGTGCCAAGATTTCATTCCTATCACCCACACAGCAGTTTATACCCATCCACAACTCCAGTTCCAGGACATCTGGTACCCTCTTCTAGCCTCTGTGGACACCAGGCATTGTGCGCAATGCATTCATAGATGTGGACAAAACTCTCTCATACCCATGAAAATAAAAAAAAAAATCTTTTTTTTTTTTAAAGTAGGCTGCGTGTAGTAGTGCACACCTTTAATCCCTACATTTGCAGGGCAGAGGCAGCAGATCTCTGTGAGTTCAAGGACAGCCTGGTCTACAGAGTAAATTCCATGCCATCCAGAGCTATATAGAGAGACCATGTATCAAAAACAAAAGGAAAAAAAAAACCAAAAAACAAACAAACCATCAAAAAAGAAGAATACATAAAGATTTATTTGGGACCTGAGAGATGGAGGGTAAAGGCACTTACTGCTAAGCCTGACTCCCTGAGTGCAGTCCCCAGGACCCACATGGTGCCCACATGTCCTCCCTCCCTCTCTCTCTCTCTCTGACTCCCTGAGTTCAGTCCCCAGGATCCACATGGTGCCCACATGTCCCCTCCCCTCTCTCTCAGACACACACACACACACACACACACACACACACACACGGTAAATGTTAAAACATTAGAATGTTTTATTTCTGTGTTGTGGAAGGAGAGTGTAATGGTTCCATCAGTTACTTACTTGCTGTGGAACAAATTGCTCCGAAATCCTGTGGCTTATAGTTACACTTATTTCTCTTTTAAAATTAAATTTGCTTATGTCATGGTGGGTGTGCGTGTGCACCTGTCTGTGTGTTTGAGCATGACTTGTGGACTACAGTGCATGTGACCATCAGAAGACAACTTCCAGAAGTTGGTTCTTGCCAGGCAGTGGTGGCTCATGCCTTTAATCCCAGCACTTGGGAGGCAGAGGCAGGCGGATCTCTGTGAATTCGAGACCCACCTGGTCTACAAGAGAAGTCCATTCTCTCTTCCTACCACGTGGGTCCTGGGGATTGAACTCAGGTCATTGGCTTTCGTGCCAAGTGCTTTTACCCACTGAGCCATCTTGCTGACCCTCTCTCTGGAGTTTTTTAGAATCTGAGGGAGACCTAGCTGGGGCATCCTGGCTCCAGGGTCTCTCATTTTATCTTGACTCCTAGGTAGTACCTGGGGCTGTTACATTAGCAGACTGGCTAGTTCAACCCCACCCCCAGCTGTCAGAGAGCCTCACCCTAAATCCAGCACGGATGCCACAGGAAGACCGAAGGCTCTACAGTGAGTCTCAGAGAAGGAGAGCAGGGGAAGGCACTGAGCATAAGTGTGCTAGTGGGAAGCTGTGTGGCCATTTTGGACATGGTCTTGACATCACCTCGCCTGGCGCTAAGGGACTGTGTTCAGTGAGCCACAGAGGTCTTTCCAGGTTCAAGGGGGTGGGGTGGGCGGCGTGGACATAGCCTCCACTTCTGATGAGGGACTGAGAAGTTTTGGAAGAGCACATGGGGGTGAGGAATTATCCGTGGCTATTTTTGGAAACCGTGCTTGCCCATGGTTGGTGGTGTGGATTCAGTGTCCAGCCACCTGGCTGTGTGTGGGATGTTGGGCACAGTGACATCGACACTCTGGGGATAGCCGCAGTGGCTTCACCAAGGGGCATTGTGGTTGTATACCACCAGGTTTTCCACAAGGTCCCACAGTCCCTTCCTCCTGATGTGGCCACATGGGTACATTTTTTTCTGCTTGTCACTTAATTTGTCTCCTTTGGGTGGCAGCAGACTCATGTGGGCACAGGTTGTGACCTTCAGGTTTGATAGCTTCCCTCTGTTCTCTTCCTTATTGCCTTGAAACAGCCTCTTAGAGAACAGGAAGCTCGTGATTTGGCTGGGCTGGAAGTTTTGAGGACCCACCAGTCTCCACTCTTCAGTGTGCCATAGGGACACGGAGCCTTCCCTGGCTTTTTTTACATGGGTACTGAGGATTTGAACTCAGGTCCTCAGTATCTGTAGAGTACGTGCCACGACTGACTGAGCCATCTTCCTCAGACTTGTGTTTGACTTTTTAAGAGAGTCTGGCCTCAAACTTCCTACGTAGTCCAAGATAACCTTGAACAAGTGCTAGGATTTTGGGCACAGAGCACCAGGCGTAGCAGATTTTAAATAGTGATCATGGAACGCTTAGTACTTCTTCAGTTTGACTTTTAAAAAATTCTTAAGCGAAACATGTAAAATTGGGCATTTTGAATTGTGAATCTGGGCTTGGTTCGAGGCAGGAGACTTGGGAATATAAGACCCGCTCCCAGCTATATAGTGATCTCTAAGTCACTCTGGGCTACCTAGTCTCTCTCTCTCTCTCTCTCTTCTCTCTCTCTCTCTCTCTCTCCCTCCCTCCCTCCCTCTCTCTCCCTCCCTCCCTCCCTCCCTCCCTCCCTCCCTCTCTTTAGATTAGTTTGTTTGGGAGAAGGAGTTGCTTGTTTGGTTACTTAGTTGATTTTGTTTGTTTGTTCAAACAGGGTCTCATTATATAGACCAGGCTGACCTCAAACTCACAGAGATCCACCTTCCTCTGCCTCCCAAGTCCTAGGATTAAAGGCGTGAGCCACTCCTGACAGTTTGATTGATTTTCAAGATTGGCTTGGCTCTCCTGGATCCCTCAGAATTCCATTTGAATTTCAGAAGCAGCTTTTCCATTTCTGCAAAGACACCACTGGGTTTACAGCAGAGACTCCGTTAGCCACAGCCCCCTCTGGGGAGCAGGGCTGTCGTGGCCGTTTGTCTTCCAGGCGCTGTCAGGCAGTCTGTCAGGCAGTCTGGAGCTTCTGTTTCGGAGCGTTCCGTATGTCCAGCATAGGTACCTGTGCCTCCGTGGTTATATTTATTTGCGTGTGTGGACATGGATGTGTGGGCTTGCTTGTAGAGGCCAGAGGTCAGCACGGGAGACCTTTTCTACCTGATTTTTGTTTTCTTCCTTTCATTCGTTTCTTTTTCCAGACAGTTTCTCTGTGTAGCCATGGCTGTTCTGGAACTCACTCTGTAGACCAGGCTGGTCCCAAACTCACAGCGATTGTCAGACTTGATAGGAAACATCTCAGCCTGCTGAGCCATCTCACCCCCACAGTTGATTCACTATGTAGCCCAGGCTATCCCAGAACTCACTATGTAGATCAGGCTGGCTTTGAACTCACAGAGACACACCAGTCTCTGCTTCCTAAGAGCTGGGATTATATGACTGCGCCACCATGCCCAGCTTGAGTTTTTTTTTTTAAATATTTATTTATTTATACAATATTCTATCTGTGTGTATGACTACAGGCCAGAAGAGGGCACCAGATCCCATTACAGATGGTTGTGAGCCACCATGTGGTTGCTGGGAATTGAACTCAGGACCTTTGGAAGAACAAGCAATGCTCTTAACCCACTGAGCCATCTCTCCAGCCCCCAGCTTGAGTTTTTGAGCAGGGCTCTTTATGCTGCCCAGGTTGGTCAGGATTTTCCCGGCTCAAGTGATTGTCCTGTCTCAGCCTCCCAAGTAACTAGGATTACTGCACCTAACTACTTATTTAGGGAGTGAGGATATAGGCTCTCACTGTAGTCCAAACTGGCTTCGAACCCTGGATCCTCCTGCCTCAGCTTTTGAAGTTCTGGCGTTAGATACAGTGATGGCCTGTAACCCAGCTGCATCCCCGCTCAAGGCTCTACGCTTTGCTCATCTGGTTGGCAGATAAACACTCAAGTCCTGAGAGGCGAAGGGTCCCCTGGCTGCAGACATCCTGACCTGGTGTGACCTTTCTAACTGGGCCACCTCTCCTGCAGGGTGAGAGGCTGAGCCACGCTGTGGGCTGTGCATTCGCTGCCTGCCTGGAAAGGAAGCAGCGGCGGGAGAAGGAGTGTGGGGTGACGGCTGCCTTCGACGCCAGTCGCACCAGCTTTGCCCGAGAGGGCTCCTTCCGCCTGTCGGGGGGCGGCAGGCCTGCAGAGCGTGAGGCTGGGGACAAGAAGAAAGGTGGGTGCCGCACACTGGGGGGAAGGGTGGCAGGTGCGGTGGGTTCATCTAGGGGTCCCTGCAGAGGAGTTGTAGTTTTCAACGCAGGGCATCAGCGACAAAGGCTGGTATATCAGCAGGGAACATCTCAATTTTAAGAATTCATGGGACAACATTCTGCATTGTGAAGTGGAGAGTCCAAACTACTCAGAGACAGGGGGACTCCCAGGGTGGAAGGAACTCAGACTGAAGGGTTAGAACAATTGGAAAGGTTCTGAAAGGATAATGTGAGCCAAACCAAGTCTAGAATCACCACTCACAGTTTGAGAAAGAACCGTGGAGGAGAGAGGAGACAGAACAGTAGGCGACAGGGAAACGGGGTGGGGGTGCAGAGAAAGACACAGACCACAGGAGATCACAGGGGATCTCCAGAGTCATCCCGCCCCTTTGGAGACCTGTGCCGTTACTAAGCACCTCAGTTTTCATATCTATAAATTGGCCATAGTCCTGACCATGCGAGTGGTTGTGTGAATTGGATGAGTTAACATTTGCAAGGCTCCTGGGGCAGTGTCTCACAGGCATTCGTGTACCGAGTAAACGTAAATGGTCGGGAAAAGAGAGAGGGCCCAAGCGGGGATGAGAGCAGCTGAGAACAGGAAGCTGGAGAGATGGAGGGTCAGGCTAGAGGACAATTTCCCAGTGGCCTCCTGAGGAAGTGATCTTGGCTTGGAGGGCCAACTTTTCAGAGTCTGGGGGATGGGACGTGGGGGGTGACAAGGTAGCTCTAGGGAGTGACCAAGAAGACAAGGTGGGGCTGGATTATAGCTCAGTGGTAGGGGACTTCCTTAGAATCCCCCAGTGAGGGGCTGGAGTGTAGCTTAGCAGAGACTGCTTGGCTACTAGGCACAGTACCCTGGCTTCCATCCCCAGCACTATAAGCACAAGGCCTGTTGGCCTGGTTTCCAATGCCTTAAGTGAGGTAACTAACAAGCTGTCTGTTGTGTCTTTAGCAGAGGCAGCAGCCGCTCCCGCTGTGGCTCCTGGCCCTGCCCAGCCTGGGCATGTGTCCCCAACACCAGCTACCACATCCCCTGGTGAGAAGGGGGAGGCAGGCACCCCAGTGGCCGCAGGCACCTCTGCTGCTGCCATTCCCCGGCGCCACGCACCTCTGGAGCAGCTGGTTCGCCAGGGCTCCTTTCGTGGGTTCCCGGCGCTCAGCCAGAAGAACTCACCTTTCAAACGTCAGCTGAGCCTGCGGTTGAACGAGCTGCCATCCACCCTGCAGCGCCGTACCGACTTCCAGGTGAAGGGCACAGGTGAGCCCTTGGATCAGGAGGAAGGAACATCAGAATCCACCAGCACTGTCTGTCTGATGGGGGCAAGGGGTAGAGGAGAGATGGTCTAGATTGTGATTGATTAGCACTGTCTGCCAGGGGCCCAGGTTAAGCGTGTGGAACATATGGTCATTAACAGTGTCTGCTGTGGGCAAGGACTAGAAGAGAGCTAGCACAAACATGATGGATTAGTCATGCCTGCTGCGGGTAAAGCGTGTACGCTGGGTTAGCCATAGACGTGTAGTGTGTAGTGCAGACAGCCATAGACGTGTAGTGCAGACAGCCCTAGACGTGTAGTGCAGACAGACGTAGACGTGTAGTGCAGACAGACGTAGACGTGTAGTGCAGACAGACGTAGACGTGTAGTGCAGACAGACATAGACGTGTAGTGCAGACAGACGTAGACGTGTAGTGTGTAGTGCAGACAGCCGTAGACGTGTAGTGCAGACAGACGTAGACGTGTAGTGCAGTCATGGTCAGTTAACAGGGCCTGCGGTTACTCAGGGAACAGACAAGGTGGCACACATTTTGTCTCCTTCAGGCAGGTAAGTCTACCACGGACAAGGGAAAGACATCGCACGCAACGTGCATGTCCTTTATGTCTGGGACAAAAGCACCATAGTTTAATGTTCTTTCCAAACATTTGATGGATAGATCTATGACCTGTATTAAGTGATTGATAAAAGGATCTCTCTGGCTCAGGAGAGGACCATAGTCGATTCGCAATGTCTGCCTTGGTCGGGGAGAGTTGAGGGATAGCATGCACTATGATATCCTGACGTCTGATGTGAGCGGAGATCCTTTTGAAGCATGACAGTAGGCTACACAACTAATTCAGCAAAACTTTCCCTGGAGCAGGCAGAAACAGCAGCAGTATAGCCTGTGTTTGCCTAAGGGAGACTTCCAGAGTGTGGTCAACAGAATTACAAAATCTGTCCAAGTAGCGGGTGGGTGAGCAAAGAGCACAGTGGAGGTGGGGCGCCAGGGAAGCATTGTGTTTGATTATTAATGTCTGTCCTGGGCCGGGGAAAGGAAAAAAGTGCTGTTTGTCATGACCTAAGACACCAGTAGCCCAGCGTTCTAGAAGCAGAAGGATTGTGGTTTCAGGGCCAGCCTGGGCTACCTAGCAAGATCCTGTCTGTGAAAGCTATGTCTGCTGTGGGCTGGGAGATGAAAGACTTGGCACAGTGCCGTGCTGTCGCTATAGGAAACAGGCAAGGGGCTATGAGAGGTCCTGAGGCCGTGAGTCCGACTCTCACGGCTGGCTCCCAGGGCTGCCGAGGTGGATCTGGAGGGCGTTGATTGCATATTGAGAATGATACGTCCTCCATGTCCTTCCTTGACTTGTCACACACCCTCACATTTGCTGTCCTCATGCACCGTGACATCAGACACACATGGAGTTTGTCATCCGTGTGCTTGAGATGGCCGGCTTCCCAAGCCTCACACTCCTGGGGCCAGTTGCACACTCACCCGAGAGTGAGTGTCCATGCGGAAATTTCACAATCTGACGTACATGCCACAGAAACTGGAAGTCACAAACTCAGAGTTACATATGTGCAGAAATCATGTGCACACTGAAGTTGCACATACACCAGAAGGGAGCACTCAGAAGTCACGTGTCCAGATTTACACCTTTAAAATGCCACACACTTAGCTTCACACAAGCTCAGAAATCCATGCATGCCGATTCTCTCTCTCTCTCTCTCTCTCTCTCTCTCTCTCTCTCTCTCTCTCTCTCTCCCACACACACACACACACACGTCTACTGCACAGGTAGACTCTGCACCACACACCTCAACCTCCATCACTCTTGGAAGCCACACCCTCAGACCCTGCCCTGCCTTGTTGGACGAACACATGCAGTTATTAAGGAGATTGATGTAGAGATGACGTCACACTCACCTTGTGCCCTCCTCACGTGCCAGGCTGTGGCTTCTCTAAACCATACCTTTGTTCCTCCCAGGCTTGTATGGGACCCCCATGCCTGTTCTGTGTCTCCTGTCTTGCTGGCATAGTTTCATTTCCACCATGATGATGTATGTGTCGAGCGAGGCCAGGAGGGGTGACCAGGGACCCCCAAAGTAGAACATATGACCCCCAGCCAGCGAGCATCCACGTGGCCAGCGTGCATTCCTTCAGACTGGACGCCGTGCATCTGCTGTATGTCTGGCAGAGTGCACTATTAGTTAATGCACATGGGTAATTTTCAGCGCTTGCGGGTGTCATCACTTAGATCTCGAGATCCTGGTTTGGGGCCTCTGTGACCGTCAGTTACCTGATGCCACATATCGGCTCTTGTCGCTCCACTCTCTGGTCACACACATCCATGAGCACAGTTATTTTAGTGGCCATGGTCACCTAGTGCCCTGCATACCTCTGGAAACAAAGACTAGGTCATGCGGGGGTCCTGAGGACACAGAGGAAAGGCAGCTTGCGGCAGGCCAGAAGCTGTTTGCTCATCTCTGCCGTTCTGTAACCTCACAGTGCCTGAGATGGAGCCTCCTGGTGCCAGTGACAGTGATGGCATCAATGCTCTGTGCACGCAGATCAGTTCATCCTTTGCCAGTGCTGGAGTGCCAGCGTCAGGGCCACCACCTGCCACAACAGGTAGGAGCCGCCACTCTCCAGTGGCTCTCTTGCGTTCCTTTGCACCTGAAGGGCCACCTTGGGAATCCTAGGGATGGATGGGTCAGAGCAAGAATCTTACAACTGTGTATTGTCTTAGAGCCGCGGGATTACTTTAGAGTCATTATATTGCCTTAGGACTGTGGGATGAGCTTAGACTTAGAGGCATGGGATTGCCCCAGAAACCTGTATTGTCTTTGTGCTGTTGGATCATTTGAGAACCATGGGATTGCTTCAGAGCCACACGATCATTTGAGACCAACAGATCACCTGAGAGCCAGGGGCTTTTCCGACCTCTGAAGTTTCTCTGAATCTCTTTTTTTTTTTTTTTTTTTTTTTGGTTTTTCGAGACAGGGTTTCTCTGTGGCTTTGGAGCCTGTCCTGGAACTAGCTCTGTAGACCAGGCTGGTCTCGAACTCACAAAGATCCACCTGCCTCTGCCTCCCGAGTGTTGGGATTAAAGGCGTGCGCCACCATCGCCCGGCTAGTTTCTCTGAATCTCAAACATTAAAAATGTGCCCCCACAACCTTAGCAAGATACAAACTCAAGGCAGTGAGATCTTCCTGTATTGGGTAGTCTGAGAAAGACGTGTGCATCGTAGAATCTTAGCCTCTGGAAATAGTGCCAGACATGCTAGGATTAAGGCAAATCTTTTTTAAAAAATTATTTATTTATCCACTGTTCTGCCTGCATGTATGCCTGCAGGCCAGAAGAGGGCACCAAATCTCATTACAGATGGTTGTGAGCCACCATGTGGTTGCTGGGAATTGAACTCAGGACCTCTGGAAAAACAGCCAGTGCTCTTAACTTCTGAGGCATTTCTCCAGCTCCCCCCCCCCCCGTTATCATTAGCAGCACACTCATGGCTGGCAGGGGAAGGACATTGGGCTGTGGGTGTAGTGTAGTTGATCTGTTTAGATCCATCAAGGGCTGTAGTCTCCGAACTGTCCTTTCGCTCCTCTGCAAACCTGCTGAGTTAAGGTGAAGTCATCTGGACAGTGGGGCAGGACTGAGCTGGGATTCACAGACAGTCTTGCTGTAGAACCCAGGCTTTGGTCCCCAAGCCACCCTGACTCCTGAGTTTCTTTGTGGTAACCTATACCTTTCACTTGCCTCTCTCCAGGAACTTCTGCCTGGGGCGAGCCCTCCGTACCGCCTGCAGCTGCCTTCCAGCCCGGGCACAAGCGGACACCTTCAGAGGCTGAGCGATGGCTGGAGGAAGTGTCCCAAGTGGCTAAAGCGCAGCAGCAGCAGCAGCAGCAACAACAACAGCAACAGCAGCAGCAGCAGCAAGCAGCCTCTGTGCCACCAATGCCCACCATGGCCCCCACTCTTCCACCCTTTTCTGCCCCCGTGGGGCCCTTTGACACTGCAGCTGCCCAGGTGGCTGTGTTCTTGCCACCCACACACATGCAGCCTCCATTCATGCCCGCCTACCCAGGCCTGGGTTATCCACCCATGCCCCGCGTGCCAGTGGTGGGCATCACACCTTCACAGATGGTGGCCAATGCCTTCTGCTCAGCTGCCCAGCTCCAGCCCCAACCTGCCACCCTGCTTGGAAAAGCCGGGGCCTTCCCCACACCTGCTGCACCCAGCGCCCCTGGTGGCCAGGCCCGTCCACGCCCCAATGGGGCGCCTTGGCCCCCAGAGCCAGCGCCTGCCCCAGCCCCTGAGTTGGACCCCTTTGAGGCCCAGTGGGCAGCATTAGAAGGCAAACCCGCTGTGGAGAAGCCCTCTAACCCTTTCTCTGGTGACTTGCAGAAGACCTTCGAGATTGAACTGTAGCCCATGTTGCCCTGCGCCCACTTCACCAGCCCCAGGTGCACCACACTCAGGAGGGGAGGCCCAGCCTCTCCCCTATTGCTGCTCCCCGGGCTGCGCCCCTCACCACACCCTCTAAGCCCTTCTCTCCGCCACCCCTCACAAACCACTACAGAACCAATATTGTGATGCCTAGGTTGCGCCAAGATGGAATTCAGGGATGGACCCAGCCTGGCTAAGGGAACCATTTCACTGCTGGACTTAGGCTGGCGATGCCCCTTCCCCAGCTCCAGATACGGAATGCCCTCGGTTCAAGCTACTGTCCCCGGTTTCTGTTGCCCTTCCACCTTTCAGTGTGGGGCAGGATGGAGGAGGGATGTCCACTTAGGGGCGCTCCCCGGCCCACCTCAAGCCTGGTCATCCCCTCCCCGCCCCGTGCACACAGCACAAGCCAAGGGCTTCCCCTCTGCCCACGCTGCGATCACTGCCAATGCTGTGCTTGCCCAGTCCCCCTCCCCCATTCGGGGACCATGTCTTCCGTAGGGCCGAGGTCTCACGGGGTGGGGCCCGACTGGGGACCCAGGAGAGGGGGAGGGGGGAGGGACAAAGACGCTCAGTTACCTCATGTCGGTGCCCGCTAAGGAGGGGTCCCAGAAGAGGAGGAAGGGGTGCCTGGCGGGTACTTTTCTATCTTTTATTTCCAGATTTTTTTTGTATCTAAACTTGCAGATTTGTATTATACAAGGACAGCCAATAAAGGAAGAATATAATGGTGGCCGTTGGGAGAGTGAGGTGTGTAGGGAAGGTTGCAGGTGTGGGGCCTTTCCACCCGGGTTCAAAGTCGATCTCAGCTGCCGTTATCTGAGGCCTTCTTGGACTACATGAGACCCTGTCTCAAAGAAAACCTTTCCCCTTTTACCAATTTAAAGATCTCCCTGAGCGGTGTCCCACAGACCTATCATGTGGCTACTAGAGGGAGCCCAGAATTAATCATCTCTTAATTGTTAACAGACTTTGAGACGAGGAATCAGAAAGACACATTGTGAGTTACTGCTGATGGGTTCGATATCAACATTCCAAGGCTCGTCAGTGTGTTTCTTGGACCACACTGGGAAATGCCTGTCAGCTGTACTTTCCGGAACTCGGGCCAAAGTTTCCCTGGCAGTTTCTGTGTGATTTGTTTTTCATTTGTTTGTTTTGACAGACAGGGTCTCACTATGTAGCTCTGGCCGACCTAGAACTCAGATCTGCCTGCCTCTGCCTTCCGATGCTGGCATTCAGGTGTGGGATTGTCACTAGACAGATTTTGGCAAGCCTTTCTTTCCTGCAACCAGGACAGTCTTTCCCAGAGCTGCCCCTCAGCAGCCCTGCGTGTGGAAGGTACCAGGGATGGCTTCATAGATGGGCATCTGTCTTGGGTAGGGTTTCTGGCTGTGAAGAGACACCCTGACCACAACTCTTACAAAGGAAAGCATTTAACTGGGCCTGGCTTACAGTTCAGAGTTCAGTCCATTATCATCATGGCCGGAACCATGGTGGCATGCAGGTAGACAGGTGCTGAGAGTTCTACATCTGGATCCGCAGGCAGCGGGAAAAGACTGAGGCACACTAGGCCAGGCTTGAGCATCTGGGATGGCAAAGCCCACCCCCAGTGACATTTCCCCCAACGACTGCTACACCTACTCCAACAAGACCACACCTCCAATAGTGCCAGACTCTGTGCCTATGGGATCGTTTTCATTCAAACTTTTGGCTTTTCACCAGGACCTCCCTAACCAACCCCTCCCCCCCCCCCCCCCCCCCCCCCCCCCCCCCCCCCCCCCCCCCCCCCACACACACTGGATCAGCTTCTCTCCCATTGCTTGGGTGGCGATTCTTGCTCTTCTGAGCCGGTTGCTCTGCACAGAGATCACAGTCCTGTCCCCCCACTCCCACCCCCTTTTCCCAGAGTAGGTACTGTCGGAATGGACCCAGGAAAAAGCCTGGTGTAGCACGTGATTATAATCCCAGCACTCTAGAGGCTGAAACAGGAGGACGGTTGAGTTAAAAGGCCAGCCAGGGCTATGTAAGGAGACCCTGTTTATTAACATCAGAATAGAACCAGGAAACCCGGAGTTAAGGCTTTTGACCTATGGTAGCCTATCCCCAACAACCATAGTGACCAACTCCATGTTGACATTGTTTTTGGGGACATCCTTTCAGCCCATTTCTGTACCCCCTGCATTTCATCATTTATGCTCGGGGAATGCTTAACCATGCATGGGCAGCCCATTTACGGCGGTTCCCGTTGTTCCTATCCCAGGCAGTCCTAATGCGTGTGTTATTGTCATGCCCACGGTTCCACAGTCTTCCTTTATGCTTCCTTTATGTCTTCCGGTAGCTGCCTCCTCAGTGGCGAGACTGGAAATGACCAGCTAGGTCCCCTGGAAACCTGGGGAATTTAGTGCCTGGGTGGAAAGAGGTCCAGCTGGTCCGCTAAAGGCTACCACACAAAGAGGAAGTGACCTGGTCAGTCATCCTCATCAACTCAGACCATGAAACCCAATGTGGACACGTTTAACCCCAATAAAGGAAGGCCCCCTTCTTCGCGTTTAGGAAATCTCCCCTCCCTCCCCGCTGTGGAGCCCAGGATCAACCGGGGTTCTTAATCAAGCTGGGAGAATCTGGATTCCGGAAATGTTCTGGGAAGCTCCACCCTCCAGATGTTGGAGTGATTCGTCCCCATGGGCGGCCACCCCAAGCACAACTCCCCCTGGGCTGTGAGAGCCTTGCGCCTGGCATCCTGCTACAGCGGCAGCAGCGTAGGGCTGAGGCTGGAACGGGATGGAACAGCGCCCCCTAGTTGCCATGGCTGCGCCAGCCGGAGTAGCCTGAGGGCTGGCTTTGCAAAAGAGCTCCACTCACAAGACATCATTTTTGGAAAAAAAAACAACTATCGTCTGAGCCAGGAGCAACGTTATCCCTCAAGCCCTGGCTCAGCGGCTTGCTCCTCTGGGAAGTCCTCGTTGACACCCCCAGTTCAGATCTGGCGATTTTGTTGGACTCCCTCTGCCTGTGGCCCCCACACCCCATCCCCATTTTCTTGCCCGCATCTACTATTCCATCATGTGATCTTTTTCATCCCTCTACCTTCACCCCCATGCTGCCTGTGTGTGCCATCCCACCCCAGACTTTTTCCCTGCTCCCCTATCCAACCTCCTAACCTCTACCTGCACCCCCATCCTGCTCCCAACTCTGCCTGCTTCCTATCCCACCCTCAACTGTCTTCCTTATCCTTATTCCACCCTAATTCTCCACCGCAACCCTTGACTCTGCCAAGGAGTATCACTCCAGCCTCACAGATTTGATTTTGTTCAGAGGTTTTATTAATATATAATATACTGGGGGTGGGGTATGGAGATGGCTAGCGGTTAAGAGCATTGACTACTCCCCCCCCCCGCCCCCAGACAGAGTTTCTCTGTAGTTTTGGAGCCTGCCCTGGTACTAGCTCTGGTAAACCAAGCTGGCCTTGAACTCACAGAGTTAAAGGCGTGCAACTCCACCAAGCGGCTAAGAGCATTGACTACGCTTGCAGAGGTCCCAGGTCCCAGTATCCATGTGGCGGCTGTAACCCCGTTCCAGGCGGTCCAACGTCCTCTTCTGGTCTCTGCAGGCACTGCACTGCATGTGATGCACAGACACCAGACACTGACACCAGACAACAGACTCACAGTACATGGTACACAGACACAGACATGTAGGCAAAAATACCCATACCCATAAAATAAAAACAAATACATCTGGGGCTGGAGAGATGGCTCAGAGGTTAAGAGCCATCCACTCAGACCTCATCAACTCTGACTGGCTGCTCTTCCAGAGGTCATGTGTTCAATTCCCAGCAACCATATAGTGGCTCACAACCATCTATGATAAGATCTGGTGCTCTCCTCTGGTGTGCATGCAGCCAGTACATTGTATACATAATAAATGAATAAAATCTTTTAAAAATAAACTAAATAAGATAAATACATCCAGGCTGGGCGGTGGTGGCGCACGCCTTTAATTCCAGCACTCAGGAGGCAGAGGCAGGCGGATCTCTGTGAGTTCGAGGCCAGCCTGGTCTACAAGAGCTAGTTCCAGGACAGGCACCAAAAACTTAAGAGAAACCCTGTCTCAAAAATCAAAAAAAAAAAAAAGATAAATACATCCAAAACAAAATATAAAAGGCACATTTTCATTGCTCTAATGACCTGAGGTGATTTTACAGTTGAGCATCCAAGATCTCATCAGCCATGTGTAGTTCTTGTCCCTACCCCAGGCAGCTGCCGATGTTTATCACATCTTTGTCCCTCCCCCACACACACCCAGGTGGGGAAATACTTCTTTTGCATGCTAAGGTTTGGCAGAGACACATATAGAACTTAGCCGCAGAGAACTCAGAAGTCTAGCTGGGGCCTGGCTAGCTAGTGAATAGTGCTTGCTACACAAGTCCGATGCCCTGAATTTGAGTGGCAGAAGCAACTGCTGAAGACGGCCTCTGACCTCCATACGTGTGCTGTGGCACACACAAGTGCACCGAGTAATAACTTTGAAGAGTCATGTTGAGACAGCTAATGGGAAAAATATGTCTGCTCACTCCCTCGTTATTCATGTAAACATGATGTGGGACTGGAGAGATGCCTGAGGGTAAAGGTCATGCCGCCAAATGACAGCTTGAGTGCCAATCCCTTCCCACCCATAACCTCCACACGTGCACTGTGATGCGCTCTGTCACACACACACACACACACACACAGCAGAAGAGGGACAGCACTTGATATTTATCTATTTACTTATTTGTCTAGGAGCAGAGTCTCTCGTGCTCTGATCTGACTTGTTTGCGGTAGGATGGATTGTAGGGTGGCCCATGAGGGAGATGTGACAGGCAGTGGTGAGTTAGACCTGACTGGGAGAAGAGTAGGAGCTGGACTGTGATTAGGAGCTAGATTCATCAGGTGGATCACACCCGTAGAGCGTGATGATGTGCATTGGGAGGAACACACCCGTAGAGTGTGATGATGCAGGTCTGGAGGAACACACCCGTAGAGCGTGATGATGCGCATCAGGTGGAACACACCCGTAGAGTGTGATGATGCACGTCTGGAGGAACACAACCGTAGAGCGTGATGATGTGCATTGGGAGGAATATACCCGTAGAGCGTGATGATGTGCATCGGGAGGAACACACCTGTAGAGCGTGATGATGTGCATTGGGAGGAATACACCCGTAGAGCGCGATGATGCACATCAGGAGGAACACACCCATAGAGCCATGATTATGAGCGTCTGGACTGCAGCTCTCAGTGAGTTCCTGGGTGTGAAGAAGGGACTGCTTATGCAGGAGAATGCCCTCATTCCTGGTAATGGCTGTTGAAATTCTTGGCATTTGAGGCCACAAGATGACGACAAACAATTCTTTTTTTCCACCAACACAGGGTTTCTCTGTGTAACAGCTCTGTCCTGAATTCACTCTGTAGATCAGGCTGGCCTCAAACTCACAGAGATCCACCTGACTCTGCCTCCTGAGTGCTGGGATTAAAGGTGTGTACCTCCACTGCCCGGCATGGCAAGCAATTCTTAAAAAGAACCCCTCTCTTTAGTGTATACTTAGATATCATAGGTAGGGAGCAAGAAAGAGAGAAAAAAGAAAGAGAGATATATTTTGGAACCACTCAAAGATTGTATTATTGGCCGGGCAGTGGTGGCGCATGCTTTTAGTCTCAGCACTCAGGAGGAGGCAGAGGCAGGTGGATCTCT